GAATACTGTATATGACTTATCAAACGTCTAGGTTAGTTCCTTTGTGTTTCACTAAAATTTTCAAAATTAAAGTGAATTTGGCCAAGAAAATCCAACTTAAAGTTTATGCAAATGAACACAGTTTTGTATCAGATTTACAACACTCCACGGCCGTGATTTCTGTTGTGTTTTCCTCATGAATTATTAATGAGTTTGATAATATATATTACCATCCATTATTTATTTATTAATTAGCTTTAGCTTTAACCCTTTGTTTTCTTGGCCTGCTATTAATTAGAAACAAAAAGACTGGGGGCTACCTAGACTTTCCAGTTAACTTAGCCCTCAGGCTCTATTATCGCATAAGAATTGTGTACAACTATATTTCCCTATAATAGATCATTATTTATCAATACGACTCTAAAGAGCAATAAGCAATAAAAACCAGGGGAACTAGGAAATGAAGCTTATTATATTTGCTGATAATCTAACACAGCCTTTTTGGGTAGTGAGTGGTGACTATTTTGAGCATGATCAAAATTTCAATTAGTCTTTGGAAGTACATACTGAAAATGAAAATAGATAAAATGTTGCTAAGGAACATTTATTTGTTTTCAAAACATCTTAATTTATATATTTGAGCAACAATTTTTTTTGTATTCTGTATTTTCTGCATTTTACTTGCTTACATTCATACCCTTCTGGGTTTTTTATTTCTTTCAGGGTTTTTTTCCAGCTTAGATTAACCTCATCTGTATATCTGACGAGAAGAGGCCTAGGGTAGTGTATGGTTAAATGATATTAGATGTACAGGTTCAGAGGCCTCACTTCAGGGCTCTCCTCACGCTGGATTGGGAGTTGTCAGCTTCAACTGCTAAAAGCACACGGACGATGCTATCGTGGTGTGTATTGCTATCACGGTGTGTCAAGAACCTTGCATCCAGCAGAGATTGATGGAAATCTGGTATCCTTTTCGTTATTTTATATTTTCACTAAAAAGACTGTGGTAAATKACAACTCAAAAATTAATAGGCAATAATTTTCACAACAAAATAAAGATACTATTTGGGGATAAACATCGAAGAAAATATTGAGTGCTTTATATCTACGTGATAAAATTGAACAAATTTTTGTTCACCACCACTTCACCAACTAGTGCGAAAATCCCGTGCGCACGCGCTTTCCATGAAGTAATCTCTATATATTGTATTGCCTCAATGCATTATGATTAATGCATAATCCCTTTTGATGTTTTGATCTTGCAAATCGTACAAAACCATGCCAACAGAAGCCACATTGGATTTTATGAATGACAATGAGCAGCAAAGACGAAAAATAAAAGTCATCATAAAACTTTGTTGCTCTTTTATTATCAATATAAAGCAAAACAAATTGAAATCCAAGGACTGTTTCTTTATTTCCAATGCATTTTTTCAATGATCAAGGACTTTTTAAGGAAAAATCGAATTTAAGGCCTTTTCAAAACAAATGATGAAATTCAAGGACTTTTCAAGTTTGAGAGAATTAAGCATGATATAAAAAAATGACACCGAATTATCACATCGTTGATTAATTATCAGTTAATGAACTAAACAACAGTTCTCGTATTCTATTATACGTTTTTTTATATCCAGGTTTGGGATGGTTCATTCGATAAGTCCATGTTCCATTCCGTATGTAATTTGTTTCTGCGGCATAATTTTCAAATCAATTAGTTAAGTCATCCAGATCGTAGAAACATATAAGGGAAAATTCATATAAGCTACTTAGCTTACTCGAGATTTGTATTGAAATTTTTAGAAACTCAACTATGAGAAAACACGTGTGCACACGAACTAAAAATCATGGCCGACAATCGTTTTGCAGTCTAAAATTATATATTTGAGCAACAATTTTTTTTGTATTCTGTATTTTCTGCATTTTACTTGCTTACATTCATACCCTTCTGGGTTTTTTATTTCTTTCAGGGTTTTTTTCCAGCTTAGATTAACCTCATCTGTATATCTGACGAGAAGAGGCCTAGGGTAGTGTATGGTTAAATGATATTAGATGTACAGGTTCAGAGGCCTCACTTCAGGGCTCTCCTCACGCTGGATTGGGAGTTGTCAGCTTCAACTGCTAAAAGCACACGGACGATGCTATCGTGGTGTGTATTGCTATCACGGTGTGTCAAGAACCTTGCATCCAGCAGAGATTGATGGAAATCTGGTATCCTTTTCGTTATTTTATATTTTCACTAAAAAGACTGTGGTAAATTACAACTCAAAAATTAATAGGCAATAATTTTCACAACAAAATAAAGATACTATTTGGGGATAAACATCGAAGAAAATATTGAGTGCTTTATATCTACGTGATAAAATTGAACAAATTTTTGTTCACCACCACTTCACCAACTAGTGCGAAAATCCCGTGCGCACGCGCTTTCCATGAAGTAATCTCTATATATTGTATTGCCTCAATGCATTATGATTAATGCATAATCCCTTTTGATGTTTTGATCTTGCAAATCGTACAAAACCATGCCAACAGAAGCCACATTGGATTTTATGAATGACAATGAGCAGCAAAGACGAAAAATAAAAGTCATCATAAAACTTTGTTGCTCTTTTATTATCAATATAAAGCAAAACAAATTGAAATCCAAGGACTGTTTCTTTATTTCCAATGCATTTTTTCAATGATCAAGGACTTTTTAAGGAAAAATCGAATTTAAGGCCTTTTCAAAACAAATGATGAAATTCAAGGACTTTTCAAGTTTGAGAGAATTAAGCATGATATAAAAAAATGACACCGAATTATCACATCGTTGATTAATTATCAGTTAATGAACTAAACAACAGTTCTCGTATTCTATTATACGTTTTTTTATATCCAGGTTTGGGATGGTTCATTCGATAAGTCCATGTTCCATTCCGTATGTAATTTGTTTCTGCGGCATAATTTTCAAATCAATTAGTTAAGTCATCCAGATCGTAGAAACATATAAGGGAAAATTCATATAAGCTACTTAGCTTAATCGAGATATATATTGAAATTTTTTGAAACTCAACTATAAAAAACACGTGTGTACACGAACTAACAATCATGGCCGACAACCGTTTTGCAGTTTAAAATAAAATAAAATTGAAAATAAATTAAAATACGAAAACATTTTATGCATGTTATTGACTTGGTCAGAGACAAATAAATACCTTTTGGTTCGACACACATCTTTTTACAATTTTGTTTAGTATACTTTGAAATGAAAAATCGCAAAACTAATAAGGCTCGTGCAAATTACAAGAAATTTCAAAACATTAAGCCATTTCTTTTTCCTATCCAAAACCGTTGTTATGCAAATCTTCGTGTTCAGAACTGACTGTTGACAAACAAGCATCATGAAGACCCTAAACATTTATAAAATACATTCTTGGGGAACAGGCTACCCCACGCTCTTTTTCGGATTTGCCCCCAACAGCAAAAATTAATATCAGAAGGATTCTGGAAAAAGATTTCTTAGCCCAAGACGGGATATGATATTTAAACAGTCACACGTAGCGAGAAGTATAGTAAAACGCTCTCTGACATTTAAATAAATAAGAGATCASAATACATATTGGCCGTTTTCTTACAGTTGGGTCCTCATGCCCGAGAGAACGATAAAAACGTTGTGTAAATCAATGGGAAAACTATCCTATGACAACACAACRTTACTGACCCAACTGCACAGATAGACAAGTAGTACAATTAGCGTGTATAAGCGTGGAGTTTCACTTTGTCTTTGCTTTTATTTTGCGGCACGCTTTACGCCATAGCGTTTTGTATCCTTTATTAGGACATTCCAAAATGATAGTGTTAGGCACATGGCACATAAATAATTAAAACAGCGGTTCGATATTAAACTTCAGTTTAACTAATATATTAAGTCGAACCAGAAACTAATGAAAGATCGAAAGTCGTACCATCGGTGAGCTAGAATTTCCAAGGATTAATTTTCATTGTTGGTGTATTAATAAAATTTATGGCCTACCAATCAAAATAATGAGGAAGTCTTTTATTTCGAATACCTCAAATAAAAGCATCACACATTCTATATTCGTGTTTGTCAATTGCTCAAATTGTTAGGTACATGACAATAAATAAACAGTTAAGTGAAACAGCAGTTCGAAGTTATATTACAGTTCAACTAATATATTAAATTGAACCAACAACTAAAGAAAGATGGAAGGTTCTACCATCGGTGACCTATAATATATTTGTCGCCTTTTCGTTTCAGAATCCGTGTACTAAAATATAAAAATATCAAATGCGTTATAGAGCATCGTTCAATATTTATTATGTCATTAAGTTCATAACAAGACTGTAATTTCGAAATCAGCACTAATAGTTTATTTGCTATCGAYTGTAATGGATGATCCACATTCACAACCTACTGCCTAAATAGCAAGAAAAGGGGCTCTAGTACAAAGTTTTTCATCTTGGTAATACATTTGAAAATTAAACAAGACTTAGTCGTTACTGGTTGAATTGCCACGCTATCTCCCAGCTTCTGACCTTWTTAATGACATTCAGATTATGCAATTTCTTCTAATTAAAAGTTGAAATAAGGTTGAAATGACCTCGACTGTAATTAGTTCCTTTGAAAACAAAACACTATTGATTCTATTAGTAATAATCCCATGAAAAAGTATTTAAAAYTTTTACTACTGCATTGTGCAAAATCACATTATTTATATAATCATATTTAGAAGCAAAACGTAGTTAGGACTTGATCAAGGGATTTTATGTGTAAACTTAGCAAAACAAATTTACCAATAAAGAAATATAAAGAACGAAATTATTATGTCTCAAATATAATTAAAACTRAAACAACATACATGCAATAAACAGTTTGCTATTTCACTTGACTGTGAAAATTACTCGTTATGTTTCACTTTTTAAGAAGGAAGTAAAATTGGAGACAGTTTATAAGCATACATGTAAAAAAGCGTTTATAATTTTTCAGTCCCTATTTTCATTTCAATCGCACGATAGTACAGATCTTATCTAAATTTTACAGCTCTTCTAAAAATAGTTGATTTCTCATTCTCCTAACTAAATGTCATTAATTTGGTCGGAACACGAATGTTTCCTTTTCTCTTGYTTATACTTTTTGGCAGCGTACAAAACGAAACATCAATGCTGAAACAATAATAAAAAATCTCCATAACAAAGCTACAAGTGGCATATATAAAGGACAGCAGCGGAGACAGGACTCCAGTTGCCGTTTGGCTATTACGTAACGCTGTAGATCAAGCAGATGTTTGGATAGATGACAGTGAGAGCCCGGCAACCATGAATTTCCATATGACATACTTCGCATTATTATCATTTTTGTCAACTATTGCATTGCTTGGTAAGTTTATTTGAAACAACGAACATTTAGGCTTAATGATTTGTTAATAACAAAACAAGAGCTAATTTATAACTAGCTTTCTTTGATAAACTGAGAAGAAATTTATTTCATTCAGAGGCAACTATAATATATCTCGAAATGTATGCACCGCTTTTAGAACTGTTGGCTGTGTAATAACATTTGCTTTTCTAAAATATAAYTTACTCACTGACATAAAACTTGGGCATCGGTCATGAAAACAAACTTATGCATAAGGAARAACATTAATTTCTTATATTCTCAAAACTAACTTTTTTTGATTTTCAAAACTAACCATTATTTCCTTGCGTCTTAAAAAATAGCATGCAAAATTAGTATTTCTTCTCTCTCTCTCTCTCTCAGTCTTTTTACGTATATCTAATCTAGTAGACAGAAAAAACAAACATTAAGAAATTTCATTTTATTTGTATTAGGTGTTAGAGCAGTCAATTTGACTGATTCCTGGGAATCCAAAATTGTCGTTTACTTCTCAATTATACTGCTATGAAATATTTAAATACTTTGGATTTCTTTTTGACACCATCATAAGCGTTTTTGGAAGACGCAAAACCTTTTTCTAATTTAAATCTACTGAAGTTAGACAATGAACACATATCAACGAAAAATAGTCTTGTTCCTCTTTTTTGCTTTACTGTTGAGTTAAGTCGTAATGCAATTTGCTTTATCATTATTATTTTTTTTTTTTCATAAAGCAAAACTAAAATACAGTCAAATCATGCAGTAACTACCTAAGATTAAGCTATCTAGATAAAGCATTTTATTTTTACATTAGATTATATTGTATCATATAAATCCATAAAACACACACACATATATATATATAAACATATTTGCTTCTTTTAAAACGTTTCTAACAAACGACTTTTTCATTCACTTTTTTTACAGATGCAGGAACTATTCGACTTGAGCCTGATACAAGGGGTGCTGTTGCTGGTCTTGTACAAGTCTATCACAACGGTGAATGGGGAACAGTATGCGATGATAGCTGGGGTACGAATGATGCCATGGTTTCATGCAGACAACTTGGATTTACTAAAGCTRTATATTACTGGTACAATGGACGAGGAGAGGGAARAGTGTGGTTARACAATATGGGATGTATAGGTTCAGAGGCCACACTTCAGGATTGTCCTCACGCTGGATGGGGAGTTGTCAGCTCCAACTGCAAAAATCACACAGAAAATGCTATTGTGGTGTGTTCTGGTCGAACAGGTAAATTTTGAATATTTTTTTTTAGATTTACCCCCCTCAAACTTCTATTCCGCATTTAAAATTTAAGTCCTTTAATATGAGATTTAAAATTTTTTTATTTATTATCATTTTTCTAATACGTAAAAGTTAAGAGTAAACGTATATTCTTAACTTTTTTTTACCCTTTCCACTTTAATTAGGAAATCCTGCTCCAAACATTCGATTTCTACCTGCCGTTTCCGGTATTGTTCAGGTGTACTATCAGGGTCAGTGGGGGACAGTTTGTGTTGGTTACTGGGATATGAATGATGCCAAGGTTGCATGTCGACAACTTGGCTTTACCAATACCGTAGGATAATCGATACTAGCATTTTAAATTTTTATTGAAGAAGTAAAACGTAACATCTTGCGAAAGATTGTGGATAGCATATTTTCAAGAAAAGTGCTATTGGATAACTCGTGACAGGAAAAAGAAGGCGACAAGAGATTGCGATGGCCTTTTAGCACATCAATGTTGAGAAACATCTTTAACTCCTTCGTCATACCCAACTATCAAAAGGTCTTATAGTTAAATAATTTATTTACTGCAATTTTAATAAACATGCGAGCTCTAAGGCTGAAATACCAAACTCCGGCTTTTGTAGACTTCCGAAGTCCGACTAAAGAACACCGACCGATGCCAAACCAAATCGGCGATAATTTGACAACGGGGACCAATAGCAAAGTTAAAGTGCTTATGAAAACAAATTTTCAATCTGTATTTTACTACGAAATAATAAAAATAAGGAGTTCCTAATCCTCACTGTGCTAATTTCCTAAAATTCAGCTTTAGAAAATATTTTTTCTTGCTTTGAAAACTATCAGTGCGTGCCAAAAGGTGCATGTCTGGTCGTTTATGCGCGGTCAAACGAACGATATGAGGACACTGCGAGKACTCGTCACTCCATCTTCACCACTATAACACTGATAAACACATGGCCGTAAAACAATAATTATATTAGAATAAAATCATTTAAGATCTCATCTCTTAACATCGACGAACGTTCTCGTTTTGGTGGGACAAAACTACGCGATACAATACGTTCCTCCGGGCTCCTACATTGTTGTTTCTAATTTTATAAAAGTATTATCGCACCAATCACCATTAAAAAGGTACGGATTCAATTATTCTCCAACGATTATACTTTTAATTAGAAAGAGCCTACGATTTTCCAACGATTATACTTTTAATTAGAAAGAAAGCGGGAGGAGAACGATGTAGCAAATTTAATCAGAAGAACTAAAGTCATGAAGAATTATAGGGGATCTGTTTCACTAAAAGAGATTTATCACAACGCTTTGGCTATGAGAACTTAATGTATATGAACGTTTTYATGGGTTATCTTAGCAATAAGAATCCAAGCAGCTAAGTGTAGAATATCCGGATATTATAGCATGCGTTTATATGGACACGCGAGTGGTGCATTGAAATCTTGAAAAAAAATCGAATCACCTAGCGCAACTATGAACTTGATTTGTCTCACTGAATATTATTTTTTAAACACACTTCACATTTATTTCCTT